CCGCCGCCGCCGACCCCGGCACCTGCCCGCCCCTTTCCCCGCACCGCCGCCGCCCCCGGGCCCGCCAACGGCACCTGCCCGCCCCCTCCCCGCACCACCGCGCTGGGTGCCGAACCCGGCCCGGGGCTGCGGTGACACCGGCTCGCACCAGGACACGGTCCCGCCCCGCTTCCCCGCAGCCCCGCACAGGTGATGCATTACGCACCCCGCACACATCTCCCCGCATTCCCCTGTCGCATCCCCGGGGTCCCACCACGCACCCCTTCCCCCCGCACACCCTACAGCCTGGGGGGCACAGCCCAGAGCCTGTCACACACCGCAAACAAGGGGCACAGCCCCGCAGCCCCCTGCCCTGTGCCGCCTCACACCCCCGGCACAACCCCGTGCCCGGTTCCCCCCGCACACTCACACAATTCCCCCATGCCAGCCCAGGGGCACAGGGCACTGACCCTCCCCAGTGTCCCCTGCACGGGGGGCACATCCCCAGCTGTGGGGTGAGCCGCCCCCGGACATCCAGCCCGCTTCTCTGCACCCTCCGCAGCGTGGGAAAAGGCCGGGGGTGGGTGCGAGATCCCCCACCCTGGCACCCCTGGGGCTGGGTTCCCCCGCGGGCAGGGTGGGCAGGTTGGGGTGGCTGCCAGACCCCCCCACTTCCGCCGTCTGCCGGGCTGGAACGGGCCCCGGCGTGCCAGGGCAGGTGCCGGGGCAGGTTCTGGGGCAGGTTCTGGGGCAGGGCAGTGTCAGATGTGGCGCTTGCCTGGGGCTGATCCTCCTGCCCCGCTCCCGCGGGGTGCTGAGCACCCACCCTGCCCATGCCTGCTGCCCCCAGCCCCACCTTGCACCCTCTGGACAGGCCAGCGGGTGCCAGTCCCCTTCTCCCGGGTCCATCCCCCTGCAAAACCACGGCCCTGCGGCAGCTGCGGGGTGGGATGGTGACAGCGGCCGGAGGGACACCGCAGTGACCCCATGGGCTTTGCTGGGCCCCACTGCCCAGGGGGTTCGGGTGGAGATGGAGGAACGAGGGTCCCGGCAGTTCCCGCTTTGTTCCCGCTTCGTTCCCGCTTCGCCTCCACCCGGCAGTTGCCTGGCAACTCCATCCATGCGGCTGCCGGAGAGCAGCAAAACACGTCCCCACATCCCCATCCCCGGCTGTACGAGGTCCTGTCGGGATGGCACAGCACGGCACGGCCCGGCTCTTCCCTCCTCTGTTCCCCCAGCCTCCAGCGTTCAGATCCCCCACCCCCAAAAACCCCACTCTGCTGAGCTCCTCTATCCCCTTTCCCCACAGCATCCGGACACGGGCTCTCGGCTGCAGGTGCAAATGGTGCTGCTGGCCAGCTTCAGCCATGCACAGAGGGGCTTCTCCTGGCAGCAGGAGGGGAAACTGAGGCACAGATACACCCACTCGCCACCCCCCAGGACCCCATTCACTGGTGGGAACGGGGATGCACTGGGCCACACGAGCAGGAGGGACCTGGAGCACTGTGCCACGCTGAGGGCAACGCTCCCCATGGGAAAGGTGCTCCAGATCTGGCCTGTCCCATCCCCTCTCCCCATGTCAGCACTGCTGGCGCAGAGCGAACTATTGGCTTAATTAATTTGCTGTTATTTCTCCTAACGAGCTGGGATCTGGAGCGGGCGCTTCCCTCGCTTGGCAGCCAGCGCATTCCCCCGCCCCGGCAGTGAGCCGGGGGTGCGAAGCCTCCAGGCACTGCTCAAAACAGACCGTGTGTAGGAGGGAAAAATTACACCCCGGGAAAAAAATCCCTCCCCAAGCCAGCGCCTTAACCCACTTCCCAGCTGCAGCGCTGGGAGAAGGGAGCCAGGCATTTGGGGAAGGGGAGAACCACCATGAGATTGGGGCAGCTCCTCCACGAGTTCCCCGTGAAGGGCTGGGGCAAACCCTGGACCATGATCCTGTTGCCAGGGAGGGAAACTGAGGCAGTGGCACTGGGGAGGAATGGGATAGTACAGCAATGCGGGCAGGAAGGTGATGCCTGCTGCTGGTGCTCCTGTTGGAATGGCTCTGGGACCTGCACCCTACTCCCAGAGTGAGGGTAGGAATCGGGGAGACCTGACGGGAAGGGGAAAAAGGGAGTGGGATGCAAAGGGAGGAGCTGGGGTCCCTCAAAGCCACCCTTCCACCATGGCACTGGCAGGGCCAGCAGCATCCTGCCCCTGCCAAACCTGGCTGCAGGAGGGCAGAGCTCACCGTGGTGCTCCATCCCCAGGGTCAGGGTGTAACAGGAGTGGGGTACGAGCCCCCCACCTCCATTTGGCGTGGGCAGGTGGGCGGGGGGCTGGCAGGAGGCTGCGGCTGCCAAGGCGGAGGCAGCGTGCCACAAACGTGTGGGTGGCAGCTCCTGCACCACCAACACAACAGTTGGTCCTCCCCCGTGAGCCAGTGAGGCTGAGGGAGAGGAGGGGGCTCACATCAACTCCCAGAGAGACAAGGGGCTCCCTCCAGCCCCACTACTGGGACAGAGCTGGGCTGGGAATGGGTGGCAGCTGCTTTCAGGGATGTGGGGGTGAGGGTGGCTGGTGCCAGGCACAGCAGAGGCGTAATTTCAGTCCCACTGTGAGCTCCTGAGAGAGGCAGAGCCGTACCTAGAAAAGCAGAGTGGCTCCTGGGAAGGGAGAACGGCTCCTGGGGAGGGAGCAGTTCCTGGGACACAGCAGAGCTGGCACTGGTCCTGCTAGGGAAGCTCAGATGGACACTGTCCCTGTGGATATCAGCCCCAGGAATGACACACAAGAGCTGTCTGCTTCCTAAAAAGCTGTTAGGGACGTGTATGCCACAGAAAAGGAATCCAAACAAAACCAAAACCCCAGCATGGAGGTGTAAGGTCCAGGATTTTGGTTGTGTGACCAATGCATCAATGACACATGGTGACCTGAAACACGAGGGGATTCTGCTTTGGTTACGTGGCTTTGGTGGCTGAAACAAGACACAGAAGGTCACAGAGTCACAAACATCATACAAAGAAGGAATTTCTGCTGGAAAGCCAAGCATGTATGAGGGATCCACACAGAGAATGAGCAGGTAGGTGCCAGTCCCCCATCCTGGCCACAGATGGGGACGGGGTGGCCGAGCCACCTCTCGCTCGGTGACATCCCCCTCACCCAGTGCCTGCACCGGCAGCTGGCGCGTCCCCCCGGCGTCCCGGCACGTGCTCAGGAGAGCAGCAGGAACCGGCAGGAACGGGCAGGAATCAGCAGCCGGCCCTGCCAAGTTTCCTAATGCAATTTGCAAACGGCTGCGAGGCCGTGGCCAAGCCAGAGCGGGGCCGGAGCCGCGGGATGCAGAGCGGCTGCACTGCGGCACGCGAGAGCCAGCCGGGAGCGGCGCGGCACAGCTGCGGTGACAGTCACCCATCAACAAAGCCAAAGGGGACACGAGGCTGCTGTGGGGAACTGAGGCGGGAGCTGGTGTAGGGCCGAGGTGCTTCCTTGTGGGGCCAGAGCCCAGCCCGGTGCGTTGGGGCGGGTCCCAACACCCTCCACAGCCCCAGCAGCAACACCCAAGTGCTGGGAGCGAACCTGGCCCTGCCGAGCTGGTTTGGGTGCTGGCTGGGCTGCTCAGGCAGCGTCGGGGTGCTGGGTGCCCACAAACCTCCCCCCCTCTCTGTGGATTTGGCAGAGGGAGGGTGGAAACATCCCCTTGTGCTGCTGGGGGTGGCAGGGATGGGGGCTACCCTGTGGATTCCCCTCTGAGAGCTCACACACAACAGTTACCAACAGTTTGTTGAGAAAAAAAAATCAGGAGGAGCTCCTAAGTTAAGTGGTTCCTGCCCAGGCAGTGCATTCCTGACAGCTTCCCACGGCTCCACTGCCCTTCCCCTGCACCAGAAGTGGCAGAAATCAACTTGCTAATTGAAAAGCAAATTGAAATGAAGAATGAACTGGGGTGGGGGGGGGGGGGACGTCACTGCTGCTTACCCAAACAAATAAGAACAAAATACCCAAAAGAAACAAATCAGCTTTACTGAAGGAGCTGCTTCATTCCTTAAATAAAAACAGAGACCACGATCAAGCCAGCGGAGTTGGACATCCCAGGAGGGAGCGGGGAACGTTTAGTAACGGGGAGAAGTTGGGAGCACGTGTGGCCAAGGACCGACTCAGGGGTTGGTTCTTTGGCGGCCCCAGCACGGGGGAGAAGGGGGGTGGGCAGCAGCAAGATGGATTTTGGGAAGGCACCGCTCGGGCCGCGGGGGAAGCGCCTGGTCCTGAGCACAGTGCAGGTGGCTCATCCCGCTGCCTCACCTCCGCGCAGGGAAGGAGCCATTCCAAGGAGCAGCTTCCTCCTCGCCGAGGGGCCGAGTCTAGTGCTGGGATTCCTGTGGCTGTGTCCCTACGTGTTGCTCCTCTCCTTTGATTTTTCACCTTTGCTGTCCTGGGAGGGGGAAAAAGGGAAGAGCAGCAGAGGTTTAGGGCCCCCCAAACCCCTGCATGGGGGGAACAGTGCTATGGCTGGGTCTTCCCAGCAAGACCCCACCCCGGTTGGCAACCCCCCCACCCGCCTCTCTGGGCACAACCAGGCCCCTGTGCCAACCTCTCCTCATGGTTCCAGATTTTTCCATCACAAGGCCTTTTCAGGGCCCCTCCATGAGACAATTTGCTTCTCAGCCCTCCCCGTGTACAGGAACCCACCGGCACATGCCTGCCCGGGTCTGGGCTTGCTTGGCTCCCATACGTGAAGAAAGTATGGAAAGGGAAACCAAAAACACACATGGCATTCCAGCACGCTCACACATGCACAGCTCACAGCACTGGAGCGAGGAGACCATTCCCAGTACAGGGAAGCACTCACAACCTGAAAAACCTTTAACTCTACTGCCTGAATTATCTGCTGAGTTCTCAACATTTATCCCTCCAGAGAACTCCCTGCCTCCTAGCTCCTCCAGCCAGGGCTGGACTTTTCCCTCTCAAAATTGTCCTGTTTTCTACCCTGAACAAATAAAATAAAAAAAAGTCAACTTCAGACTTACTTTTTACGTGGTTTTAGTTTTAAAGATTTAAGTAACTCAAATTAACTGGAGCCCTGCTTACCACCTGCAACGAGAAGCTGAGGTTTGGGACAGGTCAGAGACGAGACAGTTTAAGATTTCCCCTTACAAAAGAACAACGTTATATTTTTGGAATGGGAGGGAGAACTGCAGCCTCACACACACCAGTGACATCACACACACACAAGGACAAACGGTGAGGGGATTGTACCTCTGGAGGGGGTGGCTTGATGGTCACAGGCTGGGATGTCCGGCGGGGCGGGGAGGGCTTGGGCTGCACCTGCTGCTGGACAGTGTTGTAGTAGGTGACCCCCCCATACACCTGGGACTGCGCCTGCAGGAGCAGCAGGGTCAGAGCTCCGGGCTGGGGGGCCCTGTGAGCCCCTCCTGGCACCCACTGGGGCTGGATAGCTGCCCCCAGCCAGAGCCAAGAGGGGCTGTGCACCCCAGAGATCAGCACCCCTCACCAACGTGCCCCCACTCTAGCAAGGTCAGGACACAGCCTATGCAGATGGGATTCCCTCACCCTGCAGTCCATGGAATGCCTGGACTTCTCAAGAGCAGCTTTTCTGCCTGGACACAGCTCCCCTGCACATCCAGCCCTGCAGCCTCGGGGGAAAGTGCCCTCAAAGCAGGGTGAGGTCCTACCAGGATCAGCTGGAGCAGTGGGAAGGGCAGGGAAGGTTGGGAGCACAGGGAACATGCAGCTCTCCAGCCTTCCACAGCGTGTCAGCCCTGCTCCAGTCACAGCGTGTCAGCCCTGCTCCAGCCATGGCACCAGGATCTGGTCTGCTCTGGTCTCATCTGCCTTTTCAAGGATCTGGTTTGATCTGTCTCCTCAGGGATTAGGTCTGTCTGCCTCCTCACAGGGATAGGATCTGGTCTGATCCTCAGAGAGATCCAACCCAATCTGATCCTCAGGGATCTGATCTGATCCGATCAGCCTCCTCACAGGAATCTGACCCATGTCCCTACAGGATCTGGTCTGATCTGCCTTCTCAGGAATCTGAACTGATCTGCCTCCTCAGGGACCCAATCCAATCTGCCTCCTCGCTGCCCGGCAGCAACCTTAGATATCGAGTTGGGCTATGGAGCACGAAAATCCATCCCCCTGCTGCTCACACCAGCCAGTTCCCAGCCTCTATCTCAAACTGAACTGACTTCCAAAGCCATTCCCAAGGTATCCTTGGCTCAGCCCTGGAGAGGCTATTTCCCTGTTCCATAAGGAAACACCTCAATTCCATACCACCCAGGAGAGGATTTCACCCACTGCCTGCCACGCTCAGGGAGCCGCACAGCAGCCACGAGAACAATCCTTTCTGGGATGACAGCAGCCTTCCCCCACGGAGCAGCTGTGCTGCTGCACATCCTCTCCCAGGAACACCTCACAGAACACACCCCATGCTCCACAACATCCCACCTGCTCCTGCCTGGGAAGGAGCCGCGGCGCGTCCGGCTTACCTGCGTGTTGGAATAGAGATGAGGAGGGGGCGGAGGGGGCAGAGCTCCAGGGGGGTAGGGGTAGCCAGGATTCCCGAAATTCATCACTCCAGGGGCGGAGAAGTAAGTCGGAGTGAGCAGCTGCTGCGGCGGGGGCTGGCCCGGGGGCATGGACACTGGTGGGGGGTAGAGGCCGGGGTTTGCCATGGCAGGGGGCGTCTGGTGAGGGTGTAAACCTGGAGGTGATGGGAAGCACACGGATGTCACCCAAAACACCAGAGTGTCCCTGGGTAGCAGCAGGATGGAGCACACTCTGCTCCAAGGGTTCCCTGCAGCCCCACGCTGGGGAGGGACACAGAGCAGCAGAGCACAGCCCCCTCCCCAGTTCCCGATTCACCAGAACCAGACATGGCCCCACGGCAACTCCACTGCAGGAAACAATTTGTGTGGGCAAGCAGAGAACGTGTTTGACAGCTCCCAGTTCTGCTTTTTCCTGAGCTACAGGGCCAGGGAGTGAGGAACCAGCCCAGTGCCCACGGAAGGGAGCAGCCCAGCCTGCTGAGGCCCCACAGGGACCTGCAAACATCCAGCTGGGAGCTGCCAAAGGCTCAGTTCCCCTCGTCCTGCACTGGCTGGAAACTCCAGAAACATCTATTTTTTCTTTCCTTAAAACTAATACTAGTTCAGCCTCACTGCAGGAGGGAGCAAGCCTCTTCTATGTTGTAGAAATTAAGGAAAATGGATTCCCCCTGTGATAGAGGCTGTGGGAGAACAAAGTTCTTTGTTTCCCAGGTCCAGGAGTGTCCCACTGGCTCCTCACCTGGATGAGGGAGGTGCATCTCCGGCTGCACAATCATCCCTTGGGGCGGCAGCGGGGCTGGGTTCTCACCGTGGGCGTAGATTGGTCCCTGGAATTGTACTGCAACAACACATGACAGGCTGTGAGGAAAAGCTCCATGGAATTTCACTCCCCTGCAGCCGGGCACACACAGCCCAGCACGCCCCGAGGGCTCCCATGGCACACAGAGGCTCCCGGGCTTACAGATGGGACATGCTCCCTAAAGAAAAGCCTTCTACTCCCTTTAGAAAGCAGAAAAACACTCAGGGAATTTCTTCTCTAACACTTTAAATGCTGGAGGGAATTCCTAATCCATCCCCCGTCCTGTTCTCCCCATGCTCAAATGTAAAAAGACCCGATTTAAAGTTCAATTTAAATCCCAGTTTTCAGAAAGAATTGGGGTGTCCTAAGAGCCCTGGCATCGAGAGGGGATAACACTGAGGGTAATTCCATGGGTTTAAACACAACCAGGCAGGCTCCCAGCTGCCTTTTAGACACTGTATGAGAACACAACGCCACTACAACAAACAAAAGAGAAAACAAAGTCCCACCCTATAAGGAATTGTGGGGGGATCCTTGCTCCAGTTGCTCAGCTCCAAGCACACGTGGAGCCACAGGAGCAGGAAGAAAACACTCACATGGGTCATAGTAGTGCCCTTCCACGATGCTGATGTGCATGGGGGGCGCTGGCTCCGGCACAGGGGGTCTCTGCCGCTGCGACGAGTAGCGCTTCACACGGCCCCCCGGCACTGCCTGCAAGAGTCCAGGGATCAGGGGGGCTGTGGGGCACCCACCCGACACCCCCGACCACCAAACCTCCCCTGGGTCACCCCCGAACACCCCCACAAGGGAAAGGCTGAGGCATCAACAGCCTGTTATCAGCACAACCCCACAACAATTAGAGCCCGTCTCGCGCGCGCCGCGGAGCCGGAGTCACGCTCCGGGATCACGCGTTACCATCTCCTCCATCCGGTTAAACTGCGGCGGTGGCCCAGTTCCCACGTGCAGATGGTTGGGAATACCTGAGGAAGGAACAGACTGGTTATTATTGTGGTTTGTGCTTGTTCCCAGGCCGGAGCCGCCTCGCCCGGGGGCGTGGCTGCGGCTCAGCTCTCGCTCCCATGACACAGAACCTTTGGACTTCATCGCCCCAGTGATCTGAAATATTTTGGGACAAATTAGAGGCTGTTTTGTCGCTGCACGTTCATTCAAGGTGCTCAGCAACGCCTAAATCCTGCGTCAAAACTAAATCCCCAGCTTGAAACTCAGGTCCTGCTCTGAGCTCTGAGTCTGCTGGGACACAGATCTCTTTCAGGTGGATCAAGGATCCATGTGGGATATGAAGCTGCAGTTTAAACCCTCTGCAGGGCGTAAATACTTTTATCACAGGTTCCTCTGGATTCCAACAGCAAACTGAATCCATGTGAATTCATGGCAAAGTGAATTTTTAAATCTTGGCTGAAAACCACAGTGCCAAGGTGATCACCTGTGATTCCAGAGTGAAAATGGATAAAACAAACACTGGAAGTGCTCATGGATCACTCACAGTGCAAATACAGGCAGAGTGATACAGAATGGACGGATGGGAGCCAAATGCTTCCCAGAATAACTCCTCCCTCCTCTGCTAGGGAAACAAAAGGGACAGCAGAGTCATCAGCCTTCTCACAGCAGAACATGATCATGTACCTGCAGCTAAGAGCTGGCCTGTGGGAAATTTGGGAAGATGCTTCATTTTTGTGCATTAGAAAAAAAACTCTAAGCCAGACAATCTCAGCACTTTTGAACTCTCATTCCACTGTGAGGTTTTCCAGCATGTCCAGGGGTCTGTTCTTACAGACTCCACAGTCCCATCAGTACCAAATGACTTCTGGTTCCATGACCTCAACCTCACAGACACTTATGAAAGCAGCAAGTCGGTTCCTTCTCCTTGCTCCAGTTTTACTCCCCTCGGGAAAGATTCTAACACTTCCCAGAACAGACTAATTCTGCAAAGGGATAATTATACCTGGATGACCCCTCTGTGGATGCACAACTGGAACTGTCCTCAGCTGGCACCAGAGTTACTCCGTCCCATGTCCCTCCCTCCTCCCAGGTACAAAGGGATTTGCCAATCCCAGCCAGGCCTTGGCTATCAGCAACCAAATCCCAGTGTCAGGAAATGAGCTGATAAACAGGAAGAAATTCCTTTCTGCTCTGAGCAGGACACCACAGAGCTCAATTATTGATCCTTATCTCATGCTCTCCTGCAGCAGGGATCAGTCTTGCTGCGATTCACATCACAGGGAAAGGATCCCTTCGATCCTTCCCAGCCCTAATTCCATTCATCTACACAAAAATGTTTAACTTCCCTTTTTCTCTGCTGCAGCACTTTCTCAGCAGGAACCATGACTCTGCACCCACCCTGGGACAAGGCACAAAGACAGCTCAGCTCTGACCAACTGCACAGTTCAGGAGGCACTGGGCTGCTGGAAAACCAGGAGGCTGCTCCCACTTACCCCTCAGCTCCCGGGGCGGGATGAACTGGGACTGCCCCGGGTTCCAGTTCTGCTCTGTCAGGTTCATCTGGGTCATCTCCTGCTCAAGTCCATCCACGCTGGATTCCACGGGTGACTCCCAGTTGCTCTTGGCTGGCGGGGGGGAGGTCTCAGCTGGTGTGGGTTTTGGAATCACAGGAGCCAGCCCCTCAGAAGCAGGCACTTCCTCAGCCAGCTTCCCTGCCTCCCCAGCCTTGACTCTGGTCCTTCTTGCCCGGGAATAAGATTTCTTCTCGACTGGTCTGTCCGGTGGTGGCTGCACAGCATCAGCACCTGTGGCTTGGTTTTCCAGAGCCCCCTCCTCCTTGCCAGGGCTGCCGTGGACATGTCCCACCTCCAGCTCAGGGGATGTGTCCCTTGACGGGCTCTGCTCTGCGTGCTTCCCACGGTAGCTGCTCTCTGGCTTGGCTTGTTCCCCATTCCGGTGCAGGACAGTTGCCTCTGAAGCCCGGTAGCCTGGACGGGTCTCCTTGTAGCCCCCCACCCTGGGGTAGTTCCTGGCAGGGGGCATCCTGCCAGTGCTGGCAGAGCTGCGGCTGTTGAAGGACCGTGGGGGAGCCGAGGGGCTCTTGGCACCCTGGTGCCTCGGGGGCTTGGGGGGCCTCTCGTTGGACCAGTTGGGGTCTCGCTGAGGGGGACTACCAAACCTGAGGGAGAAAAATAGAACAATTCATTAGAAAGAAACCCCTGGGTGGGAAGAATCACTTTCTCAGGGAACAGCTTCCCAGCATGCACATCTAGAAATCCCAGGAATACGGTCCCACCGTGACAGAGCTTTCACTCTTTGGAGCTCCAGACCTGGTCCTTCTCCCCAGGACAATCCAGGCCCTGGTGTGACTCCGGGGCTCACCGTGGTTTGCGCATCCTCCGGGGTTTGATGTCGTCGGGGTTGTGGGCTGACCGGATGTCGTATCCGTAGAGCGCGATCAGCTCCTGCCTGGTCTTGGGGGCCTGCTCATCCTCACGGAACTTGTCGTGTTCCCAGCGCCCCTCGTCCTTCCACAGCTTCCGCTGACGACCCTTTGGCCTGGAAAAGGGACACAGGGAGGAGCGAGGGGCTGTCAGGTCAAGATGTGACAGTTTCGAGCAGTTCCACACACAGAGCCTGAGCTTTCCTGGGGCAGGGAATGCACAGGAGGCAGACTCCCTCCTTCCTTCCTCCCCCACCTCCTGCCCAGCAGCTGCTGGTGACCCATTGCTATTTGAGAAAAGCAGCTGAAGAGTCACTGCTGCCTGGCATGAGGCTTTTTTAATGGGTTTTTTCCATCCCTCCTTCAAAACAAAGAGTTGAAATGTCCTGGCAGGACACAGAGCAGGTAACAGAAGCGCAGACCTTCCCAGCGCATCCCACTGAAGCAAGGAGCCCAGAAAGGCCAGCCTAGAAGCTGACCTGTCCCTCCCAGAGCTCCAGGGGGACACTCACATACCTGACCTCCTCCTCCTGCGTCTGCCCTCGGAGGTCGTGCTCAAAGAAGAGCCCCTTGCGTGGAATGTACGCCGGGTTCTTCCGATCCTCATCATCATCCAGGTGCTTGGGAACCTTCTTCCCAACTTTCTTCTCCACAGGCTCCGTGCTCTCCTGTCAGAAGCAGGGAGCTCTCACCACTGCAGCAGTCCTGCTGCCAGCCCCCAGCCCGGAGGCGTGGGACACCCACCTGCCCGTCCCCGCTCTGCCGCTCGCCCGTCACCGCTCCCTTGGGATCCACCTTCTCATTCCCCTTCTCCCCTCTGGCCGCCGACTCGCAGGAATCGTTGCTGTCCTGCTTCAGCTCCACCTTGGAGCTCTCTTCCTCGCTGTAATCCTCTTCCTCTGCCTGGGAGACACCCAGTAACTCAAACATGCTCTGTTACCAACAGATCCGCCAGGAATCTCCCCAAATCTGGAGTCAGATCCAGCAAGAGACTGCCCAGAAATCCTCTCAGTTCTGGAGTCAGATCCCTGTCCCAGCTGTTAGACATGACTCTTCCAAAGCAGATGATTAACTCCTAAAATTCTTCCTGTCTCCGTATTTTTATAGGAAAAGCAAAAGTTAAGCCCAAGCTCTCCCAAGAGAGGGAGAATGCAACAGGCTTTCTGGAATAGAGCTGGGATCAGCTGCCCCACAAAGATGTGACATCCCACCACTCCAGAAAGGCTCCTGCAGACTGGGAAGACTGGTGATCTCAGGCCCTTCCTTCCACACGGAGGGCCCGGATCCAGCCAGGGCCACGTTTCCAAATTCCCTGGAGTTCCTCAGCTGACTCACTCTGCTCAGGAGCATGACCTGGTTTCACCCCCAGGAGCCTCCGGAGGCTGGAGCAGAACTAAAAATAGCTCGGGGTGATTAACCAAACCCTGCTCCATTTTCCTCTTTCAACACAGCCTTTTGCACATCGGCTGCTCCCGGTGTTTACGCCGGGGAAGCCCAGGCTGGGCATTATTTTTAGGTACAGGAACACAGTCATCCTGGCACAGCAGTGATGCAACAACCCCGCTGCCACTGGGAGCCTCCACGCAGGATTCCAGGCTGGAAGAGCTCTGGGAGCTGCCCCAACACCTCTGCAGCCTGCAGTGCCCCTTCCTTGTTAATACCATAGATTAATTCCCAAACTGAGATTAATTCCCAAATAAACAGCTTGGATTTCCTCTGCCTGGTGGTTTGGATGTTCTCTAGCCACTGCTTCCCTCAAGATTCCCAAAACACAGATCGATTTTCCTTAGAAAACCTTCACTATAATTCTTAGACACCAGAACTTCTCTAAACTCCTCATAAATCTCAAACTCTAGAGCTCTGAACTAAAAGTCCAGGGGAACCTGCAGCCCCCAGGCACGGGTGGGATGGGATTCCTTCAGCACCTCCCAATTCCCAAAGTGCATCCCTCTGCTCCCTCAGAACAGAGGGAAGCCCCTGGGATGCTCCCAACCACCACTTTGCTTTTGAATTCCAACTAATTAAAACCCAACAAGCATCCCACATTCCTCCCACGCCCTTCTTGGCCGTGGCAAATCCAGTTCCCAGTGTGAGGAGCCAGGAGGGTTTTCCCTTGCACGTACTGGCCCTGCACCCTCCCCAGCAGCACAGTGACACTGGTCCCAGTGCCAGGGGCTGGGAGTGGGGGAAGCCATTTCCTCAGGAGACAGAGGGGTCAGGGGAAGAGATCCAAGGACACAAACTGGGATTGTGCTGAAATTCCATGAGAACCAGGGGCTCAGCAGGACAGAGATCATCCTTACCTCCGAGTCCTCGGCGCTTTCATAGTCAGAGAGCACAGCTGTGGGGAGGGAAAGGAGGTGGACTCAGGGCAGGGCTGGACATGGCTCCTCTGCCGTGGGACCAAACCCCTCCCCAAGGGAATTTGGAAGCCAGCACCACCCTGGATCAATGCCACAGCCTGCTCAGGAGGAGCAGGGAAGAGTTTGGGACGCTGTCCCTGTACCCCACATTTGCCTGCTGTTACTAGTAAATATTTGGCGTGGCAACAACCACAGGATTGTTGGAAAAGCCATTTTGCCTGGTTTTTACTTTTTTTGCACACAAACAACCCTGCCCAAGAGCCACCACTCACCATCTCCTTCGATGCCATCCTCACTTTCCTGCAGAGAGAGAAAAGTGAAGGGTGTTAGGGGAGGGGAGGGCAGCAGCCCAGTCCTAGCAACATGGAATCATGGATTCATAAAACCATAAAATATTTATGGAATTGTTTAAATTGGAAAAGATCTTTAAGGTCAAGTCCAACCTTCAATGAGCACCAGCCCCACGTCACCACTAGACCATGTACCCAAAAACCACATCCACACTTTTTGTACACTTCAGGGAATTGGGATTCCACCACTCTGTGGGCAGCCTGGGCCAGTGCCTGGCCACCCCTTCCATGAAAAAAAATTCTCTCAGAACATACTTTCTTAGTATCTACTATCCTAACACCTTTTCCTAACAGCTATTTTTTTGTCCTAACACCTAGCACCCCATGATTCCACACACAGTAACAGCAAGGTCTGGCCCTGACCCTCTTGCATCCACCCTTGGAAACTCAGCTCCAGTGACCAAAAAGAAACAAATTCCAAGCTCCCAGAGCCTTTCTAAGGCTCCAAGAACCTTCTAGAGCAGCCACAGTGGGGGAATTTGGAGAGCAAAGCACAGCCTGTCAGTGCTGGGGGTCTCCAGGGAACAAAGTGACAGTGACAGGGGAGCCAGGATTCCTCCCTTGCCAAACAAGAGCCAGGGAAAGGACAACAACAGGGAATAACAAAGAGAGAACGAGCAGGATCCAGCTCAGGGAAGGGGCTGGAAGAAGCCAACAGCTCAAAATAGGAAAAAATGCTCAGCAAAACTGCTGTGACTGCCCCAACCTTGGAAGTGTCCAAGGGCAGGTTGGGCAGGGCTTGGATTAAATTGAGATAGTGGAAAGTGTCCCTGCCCATGGTAGAAGGTGGAACTGGATGAGCTTTAAGGCTCCTTTCAAACCAAACCATTCCATGATTCCAGCATTAAGACAAAGATCAACCCATCTGTGCAGACAAAACAAACCCAGAGCACATACAACCTGACTGAGGTGACAAGATAAACCCAAAACCACCACAAAAAAACACCCAGAGAGTCAGGGGGAGCTGGAAATAACCAGCCCTGGAATCTAAAACAGGAAAGAGCTGGAAATAACCACCATTAGAACCCAAACCAGGAGGGAATTGCAGCTGGATGTCAACTGCAGCCCCCCCTGGTGGGGGGAGACAGCAGCACCCACCCCACACCCCCCCTTGTTGCAGGGACCCCAGGAGCAGGGACAGCACCCC